CGGGGCGACCGGGCGAGAGGAGGGGAATGGCGGATGGCGGCGGGGAATCGGAGTCGACGGCGCTGGAGTTCACGCCGACGTGGATCGTGGCGGCGGTCTGCTCCCTCATCGTGGTCATCTCCCTCGCCGCCGAGAGGTGCCTGCATTACCTCGGCAAGGTAACCGATTTTGATGCTTCCTTATGTTCCTGAGCATCGAAACGCCTCGCTCCTCGTCTCCCTTCTGAATTTAATGCCGCACCTTGGTGGTGTCTGTCTCTGTCCACTGCGATGGCTGGCTGGCAGACGTTCAAGGCGAAGAACCAGAAGGCGCTCTTCGAGGCTCTCCTCAAGGTCAAAGAAGGTATCGATCTGTTTTCGTTCTCTGTCGTTCAGCCATTTTCAGGTGATGTTCTGCAGAAGCTGAGGTTTATGCGCTCCTACCACTGTCAGAAAAGGGGGAGCTTTGTTCATCTTCAGTGACTTAGTAGAGTTCTTCGACGTTCCTCAATAATATATATCCGATGCTATTTTCAATTTTGCAGAGCTGATGCTTCTGGGGTTCATCTCCCTGCTGCTGACGGTGTTCCAAGGAGTGATGCAGAGGACGTGCATTCCACAGGAGTGGAGCATCTACATGCTCCCATGCCGTAACGCCAAGGAGCAGGCCGAGCTGAGCCCCACGGAGGCGCATGGACTTGCTGCCGGAATCTTAGGCCTCAACCGCCGGCGTCTGCTTGCCGAGGGCGGGCCCATGGCCCAGCATTGCCAAAAGAAGGTCGGTGGACGAATTACACCTGCACTTGTTGGTCTATCTGATGCTTGTTATCATTATAACAGACTATGCTTCCAATCATTAATATTGTAATATGTATGTATGCCTCGTGCTTGATTTAGTATGTCGCTAGTCGGGAACTTGACATAGCACATGGGGGGTCTTTCTTTATTTTCCCAATTGCCATTTTAGACAGGGTGAACACGTTGTGGGTTTCCCCAATTCCCCCAGGTGCAGTTCTATTTGCTACTAGTATTATCCAATGAGAATTACTACTCCGCAGTACTGTTTTTAGCCTAAAGTAGCCAAAAAGGACGGCCGATTAGTGCAAGTAGTAGCATGTTCTTACAGCTTACCATTCGAAAATAGCAACTTATTCATGTCCTAGCTACTGGTATTAGCTGTCCTGTATTCCGTTGTGATATTAGTTGTGTTTGCCTTGCTGGATGGATGTTGATAGTATAGGGAACACAAATACTTGTCTCTACAACTACAAGATTGAGACTTTTCTTTCAAAATCTGAAAATGTGTGACATTATGGAGCAAGAGAGTTAAGGTTTCAAGGCAACCATGATTTTAGTTCTAACTCCAGCATATTTGTCCACAGGGAGAAGTTCCTTTGTTGTCAGTTGAAGCACTACATCAGTTGCATATCTTCATTTTCATTCTGGCCATTGCACACGTGATTTTCTGTGTTTTGACTATGCTTTTAGGAAGCGCAAGGGTAAAGTATCGATGGCATTTCATTCATTCGTGCGTAGATTAATCTTAGTTTCATATAATTTTAACTTTAATTAGTTCCATCTTGTTACTCAGATTCGTCAATGGAAACACTGGGAGGGTGAAATTCAGAAGGGTGCTACAGAAAATGGTAGTAGTGTCTTGTTTGCTGCTCATGTTTTGTTCAAATGATATAGGAGTACTTGTGGTCTGGTGGTAGCAAGTAGCAATTGCCCTTTTATAAACAAGTTAATGCTTATGTTAATTAATGAATAAACAATGGCTCCCTTTTTGGTATAATTCTATGGAACTACAGGGCCTAGGAAGGTGGCCTATGTGCATCAATCTGAATTTATCAGGGAACATTTCAAGGGTATTGGCAGAGATTCCACAATGTTGAGCTGGCTGGTAAGAAATGGATCCCAGTGTATCTTCTGTCCGAACTACAGCTGAATTAATTTCTGAAGCTTGCACTATCCTTTTCATCATACAATCTAGTTCGGGCTAGACAGACTAGGCTACCCAGCTTTTCTGACCAACTTGTGTCTCTTACACAGTTCCACTTATCAATTGGATTATTGGATAACTTACTAACAATGTTTTAAGAAATAATTCCAAACCGAAAATGCATTTGAATGATTGACGAGTAAATTTTTACAACTGCATCATTAATTCATTTTTACTAAGTACCTAATTATCAAGTATCAGTTTAGCTAACTCATTAAGCTTTTACTTTCAGCATTCTTTTGTTAAGCAGTTTTATGGGTCGGTCACTAAATCAGACTACACTACAATGCGACTTGGCTTCATCACAGTAAGGATAACACAACAAAAAACTTACTTTTTGTTCCTTTCTCAATCATAACAGGTGACAATTTTCCTTTGCAGACACATTGTAGGGCAAACCCAAAATTTGATTTCCACAGATACATGATGCGAGCTTTGGAGGCTGACTTTAAGAAGGTGGTTGGCATAAGGTAGTCCAATCAGCAAATTCATACATTTACCAGTTCATGTACCAATAGTTGTTGAGCACAATTGGTGAACCTAACCATCTTGTCTTTCTGTCTTGCCTTTTCTTACCTCTCGTAGCTGGTACTTGTGGATATTCGTTGTGGTATTCTTGTTGCTGAACGTCAATGGTGAGTTTAATCTCACTTAAAGAATCATTGAAGCCTCTAATTCTGTACAGAGCTGCTTTAGCACTGCTTCTTTACTGTAGGTTACTAGTATTTGCTGTAAACCAGTACTCTTCAGTACATCCGTGTTGATGATTATATATTTATATATCTCTTGCAAATCTACAGGTTGGCATACATACTTTTGGATCTCTTTCATTCCCCTTCTTGTAAGTGTTTCTTTATAACTAAATGAGTTTCTTGGGAACTTGCTGATAGAATGTTAAAGGATCAACTAGCCATAGATCTAGCATGTGTACTTACATTTGGGATAAATAACGAGTCCTAGAACATGTACTAGTACGGGATTAACAGATAGAGTGAGAGAGAGAGAGAGAGAGGGGTTGCGCCATCGGCCACGAGCTAGCCATGGGGTTGCTTGACGGTGGCGCGGTGAAGCCCGGCGGTGAAGGCATTGTCGTGGTGGCGGCGGTGCAGAGGCGGCGGTGGCCGGTGGCGGAGCTTCCTGTCGCTGGCATTGCCCCCTCTCTAGATCGGCTAGGATTAGGATGTAGGTGGGGGGGCGTCTGGCGGCTCAGGTGAACCTCGTGCCTTGTGCTCCGGCCCCCACCTCCCTTTTTTATGGCGCTGTGCGACAGGGGCCTACCAACCATGGAGCGGTTGGGCGCCCCCGATCAGGGCGCGGATCCAAGGGCCCAATTGCCCGTTGGGCCAATTGGAAGATTGCAAACTTCATTTTTGAGGAATTTCAGATCACTTCTGAATTTCGCCCTTGACACGAGAACTTCCTGGCACTTCTTTATTTGCTTCTTGCAGCTTCTGTTGGCCGTTGGCACCAAGCTAGAGCATGTCATAACTCAGTTGGCTCAAGAGGTCGCCGAGAAGCACTCCGCAATAGAGGGCGACTTGGTCGTGAATCCGTCAGATGACCACTTCTGGTTTGGACGACCAAAAATTGTCTTGTACCTGATCCAGTTCATCCTCTTCCAGAACGCATTTGAGATTGCATTCTTCTTCTGGATTCTTGTAAGTGCAACCAAACTCCACAAACTACTGAGGAACTAAGATTGAAGGCTTACTGCGACTTCTTTTCTCTCTCTTTGACAGACTACCTACGGTTTCAACTCCTGCATCATGGACCACGTCCCCTTCATTGTGCCGAGGCTCGTTGTGGGGTAATTTGCAGACCTTCTGTCTCGCTACTCATCCCATTTCGAACAGTCCAAGAGCCATCAATGTGTCTCAGACTCATGATGTTAGCCTTGCAGGGCTATCATCCAGCTCCTCTGCAGCTACAGCACCCTGCCTCTGTACGCCATTGTCACGCAGGTGCGTGCCATTATACTTTCCATGAGTGATTGACTATCGTTTGGGGATTGTGGCTATTCGAAACATGGTCTGAACTATTATTCTTGTTTGCAAAGATGGGGACCTTCTTCAAGAAGGAGATCTTCGATGAGCACGTGCAGCAGAGCCTCGTGGGCTGGGCGCAGAAGGCCAAGAAGAGGAAAGCGCTCAAGAACAATGGCAATGGCAGCATTGGCGCGGCCGGATCGGTATCGGCACATCCATCTGCGAGGCTCGAACTGATGAGACGAGCTGTCGCTCTTGAAGAAGGCAGTGCCGGTGCTAACGGGAGTGAAGCCAGTGCCGCCGAGCTGCAGAACAGGGGCCTGTAGCAAACGCCCGGCAGAGCGTCAGAAGATGCAGTATTTCTGTACGCGAGCCATATGCTGTATGGCTGTTTAGCCAGATGGTGCAGTGTGATACTCCGTGTGATGATTTGTATGCTTTTTTGTATTGACTTTGAGCTTGAGGCGTGTTATGGAGTGGGAAGCATTCTGTAGTGTTGTGCTCGTTTAGGCCAGATCGGAGACGCCTCGCGCGCTCCAGGCGCGCAAGTCCAGAAAGGGAGAAACCACATCCCTGAGGCCTGACTCCTGAGCGCTACCAGGGCTGCATTGCATTGTGAAAGGAAGAAGAAAAAACATGAAAAAGCAAACAGACGCCGCAGAGCAAGTAAATACTACTCCCCCATTCCAAATTATAAGAAGTTTTGAGATAACTTTTGCTATGCACCTAGACACATGTAAAATTAATGTATCAAGAAAAGTTAAAACGTCTTATAATTTGGGATGGAGTACCACACAGGGAAGCCGGGTTGTGCTGACTAGGCAGCTCCCAAACATGTATTCTCAGATATTCAGTTGGTAGCCATAAGCATCACTGAGAGGATCTCATCAGAACCGTGCACAAAAGGTATACGACGTAACAAAAAAAGCCGGAGTTGATTCTAGTACAGGGGTCCTTCGGTTCTACAGCCATACAAAATCCTACACTTCATCTATTTCAGCATTGCCGCAAAGAGGCACTGCAGACATTCAACCATCACCACTTGCACTCCTGCCTCTGGATCTTGGAGTTTATGGTGCCCTTACCCTTGTCCTTGTAGGCATTCCTGGATGACACTGGCCTTCTCCGCCCATGGACAGCTGCTATTGCCTTTTTCCTTTGCTTGTTCAATTGTTTCGTGAGCTCAGCATCTTCTTCTTCATCAGCATCTTCTGATGAGTCGTCATCGTTATCGGCATCTTCCTGGGAAAGCACCTTGCCCCCAGATTCAAGCGGTTTCATAGCATCTCCATTGCCACCTGAGGGAGTTTCCAATCTGGTCCCACTGCTACAACTTGTTCCATGCTGTGCAGTGAAAAAATGTAAGAAAAATGCAATTAAAAGTTTGCTTATTCACTCTGATGGATAGATGACTGACCTCTTCAGAGAAAGTTCCAGGCACATCTGAATCCCTTGAGGCAAGATTACAATCAGGCTCATCAGAACCATCCTGAGAGACAGCCAAAATAATACTTCAATAACAGTGTCTTCTAACTAGACCAGAGACAAGCCTGACTACCGGTACAGTTTGCACATATTCAAATTAACTTGCTAGGCAGACGTACGTGGTCTATCTTCAAGGAAACCAAAGGCACAGCATCACCGACCTCGTCGTCGTCGTCGTCATCATCTGACCTGGAATCATGCCCTTCAGCATCTTCCTCAATGTACTGTAAGAAAGTTCACCAAAAAAAAAAAAAACAGTATCAGAGAGCTTAGCCAGAAAACAATCTATAAATGTATGCATGAATAACAAGTTTGCAAAGTCACCAAAAAAAAAAGAATAACAAGTTTGCAGAAATATCTGACCTACCTTCTCCATCTCCACTTGCTCTTTCCTGGTAAATCCACTGGCAGCTAGTTCCTTGTCCAAGGAACCAACAGCCTTTTTCACAGACAGAAAGGAAGGTCTGCTGCTTCATCATCGCTTTCAGATGCAGCTTGTTCTTCATTTTTCTCTGACGTCAGATTGAACCTAACAGGAAGAAAGGATTGAAGCTTTTTTGCATATATTATAAACCTTTTGTTAAAGAACTTGTAGATACATTCAATGTCTTGGTCAAAAAACCTGCAAAACCAAAATCATTTTTCTTAAAAAACATACATGACACTGTCACATTAGTTATCTGAGTAAGCTACATACATTTAGGCATTACGATGAGAAACAGATACCATCTGTGGAAAGTCAATAACCGTATTTTTTTCATCATCATCAATCTATAAGACATTGGCATCAACGAATTTAACTATACACTGACAAATAAAAAACATTACCATATGTAGTTGAATTGTATTACTATATCACAAAACTAAGCGCTGGCAAGCTGCACCTAGAAATTATTCATACAAATGTATCCAGTTCATGTGTTTGCCACAAAAAAGTCTTGTTCCATAGTATCTTATCCAGAGAAGTTTTACTTATACGAAGGATATAAAACTTATAAATCAACACAAACAAAGAAAGGAAAAGGAAGAGATGCCATGATATTGAACTCATTAAAGTCACAATGTATCAGTCCATGCTCTGCCAAACGAACGATAAGACCAAGAATTGTGTCAAAAACATCATCTGGATTTTGTAACTCTCACTTGAGCACTACAGAGCATAAAGCAACTTGTATCAGGATCTGCTTGACAGAACATACTATTCAACTAATATGAATCCACAGTTGACAAATATATGCTCACAGAGGATATCCCTGCACAAGTGACATGATCACACAATGCCAGTTGCAATCCACAGCAGTTGGAACAGGGAAACCATGGTCCCCTAAAGCCTGGAGATATAAGCAGTCAAGGATTAACCAAACAAAAAGGAAAATGAAAAGAGCACATAGCTCAGATATACAACAACAACAACATAGCCTTTCAGTCCCAAGCAACTTGGGGTAGGCTAGAGTTGAAACCCACCAAGAGCCCCAAGTCACGGTTCAGGCACTTCAATAGCTGCTTTCCAAGTACTCATATTCAAACATAGATATCTAGGTATATCCCAAGCTTTCAAATCTCTTTTTATTGCCTCACCCATGTCAATTTCGGTCTTCCTCTACCTCTCCTCATATTATTGGCTTGGCTTAGGACTCCACAATGCACTGGTGCCTCTGGAGGTCTCTTTTGGACATGGCCAAACCACCTCAACCGATGTTGGACAAGCTTTTCTTCAATTGGTGCTACATCTAGGCGATCACGTATATCATCGTTCCGAACTCAGTCCATTCTTGTGTGACTGCAAATCCATCGTAACATACGCATTTCTGCAACACTCAGTTGTTGAACATGTCGAATCTTTGTAGGCCAACATTCTACTCCATACAACATAGCCGGTCTAATCGCCGTTCTATAGAACTTGTCTTTTAGCTTTTGTGATACCCTCTTGTCACAGAGAATGCCAGAAGCTTGTCGCCACTTGATCCACCCTGCTTTGATTCTATGGCTAACGTCCGCATCAATATCTCCATCCCTTTGTAGCATCGATCCAAACTCACATCTTGACCTTCCAAACTCACATCTCCCTCCTCCTGTACAACTCCGCCAAAGTCGCATCTCATGTATTTGGTTTTAGTTCTGCTCAATCTAAAACCTTTAGACTCAAGGGTCTGCCGCCATAACTCTAGTTTCCTATTTACTCCCGCCTGACTTTCGTCCACTGACACTACATCACCAGCGAACAACATACACCAAGGGATATCCCCTTATATGTTCCTGGTAACCTCATCCATTACCAAGGCAAAGAGATACGGGCTTAAAACTGACCCTTGATGAAGTCCAATTTTAATCGGGAAGTAATCTGTGTTACCATCGTTTGTTCAAACACTAGTCACAACATTGTTGTACATGTCCTTGATGAGGGTCACGTACTTTGATGGGACTTTATGTTTGTCCAAAGACCACCACATAATATTTCTTGGTATCTTGTCATAAGTCTTCTCCAAGTCAATGAAAACTAAGTGGAGATCCTTCTTCTCCTCTCTAAACCGCTCCATAACCTGTCTTATTAAGTGGTTGACCTTCCGGGCATGAAACCAAATTAGTTTGTTGATATCTGCGTCGTTCCTCGCAGGCGCTGCTCGATGACTCTCTCCCATAACTTCATAGTGTGGCTCATCAACTTAATTCCCCGATAATTAGTACAACTTTGGATATCTCCCTTGTTCTTGTAGATTGGTACCAATATGATTCTCCACTTCTCAGACATCTTGTTCTATCGAAAGATATTGTTGAACATCTTGGTTAGCTATACTATAGCTATATCTCCGAGACATCTCCACACCTTGATTGGGATACCATCAGGGCCCATCGCTTTGCCCCCTTTCATCCTTTTCAAGACTTCTCTGACCTTCGATTCTTGAATCCTCCGCACAAAACGCCTGTTAGTGTCATCAAACGAGTCGTCCAGCTGAACAGTGGTGTTCTCGTTTTCACCATTGAACAATTTATCAAAATACTCTTGCCATTTATGTCTGATCTCATCCTCCTTCACCAATAGCTACTCTCTCTCATCCTTTATGCACTTGACTTGGTTAAAGTCCCTTGTCTTCCTATCGCAAGCCCTAACCATCCTATAAATGTCCTTCTCTCCTTCCTTCGTACTCAAACGTCGGTAAAGGTCCTCATAGGCCCGCCCCTTTGCCTCACTCACCGCTCGTTTTGCAGTCTTCTTTGTCATCTTGTACTTCTCTATATTGTTTGCACACCTGTCAAGATATAAGCGCTTATAGCACTCCTTTTCCTTAATAGCCTTTTGCACATCTTCATTCCACCACCAAGTATCTTTCGAGTCGCATCCGCTCCCTTTGGTCACTCCAAGTACCTCTGAAGCAACCTTCCGAACGCATATTGCCATCTTCTCTCACATACTATTTGCATCGCCTTCATCATTCCAATGGCCCTCTTCAATGACATTTTCCTTAAAGACCTTTAATACCTCTCCTAATTTCCACCACTTCGTTTAGCAACCTTAGTTTGTTTGTTCCCACGAGCTTGCACTAGAAAGCGGAAGTCAGCCACCACCAGCTTGTGTTGAGCGACCACACATTCTCCAGGTATCACCTTACAGTCCACGCATGTTTGTTTATCCCTCCTTCTTGTAAGGATAAAGTCAATTTGACTAGAGTACTGGCCGCTACTAAAGATCACTAAATGGGACTGTCTCTTACGGAAGAAAGTGTTAGCTATCATCAGATCAAAAGCTATGGTGAAGTCTAAGACTTCCTCTCCCTCCTGGTTCCTACTACCATATCCGAAACCCCCATAAACCGTCTTGAAACCTGCACTTGATGTACCTACATGGCCATTAAGATCACCTTCTATAAAGAGCTTCTCGCTACTAGAGACAGCTCTAACCAAGCGATCTAAGTCTTCCCAGAAAAGCCGCTTAGCACTCTCATCATGGCCTACTTGGGGGGCATACGCACTAATTACGTTTAAGACCATATCACTAATGACAAGTTTAGCTAAAATGATCCTATCCCCTTGCCTTCTCACCTCCACCACACTATCCTTAAGGCTCTTATCAATCAAAACTCCCACTCCATTTTTATTTGAAGTTGTCCCTGTGTACCAGAGCTTGAAGCCGGTATTGTCCACCTCCTTCACCTTCTGCCCCTTCCATTTAGTTTCTTGGACGCATAAGATATTTACACGTCTCATATCCGCTGTGTTCACTAACTCTCTTAACTTACCTGTAAGGGACCCTACATTCCAACTACCCTTCGCACATAGCTCAGATATACTTAAAAGAAATAAAATGGGAAAAAAATACCTTCATAAAGGCAAATTCCTTCAAGGCTGCAAGTCATGAGAGGTACAGCCAATTAAAGCTCCTTCGGTGCCTTAGATAGTCACGCTTAGATTTCACAGCCCTAAAAGATGTCCTGCCCAACCTATGAAGCTTCATGGCGAGTACTGTACCATCCTCTGTGGCGACCTCAAATATATCTGCATATCACAGAGATATTAGAAACAACTTCATGTGTCTTTGCGTCATTACTAAAACAAAGAACAAACACTATGAACACAAGTGCACAACATACCAGACTCCTTTCCAACACCAATCTGACGGCCAACTGAAGCAAAAACTCCTCGATTAACCAAAGTCTTGATGGCAAGGAAGTCATATCCTAGATAGGTGAGCCGATATCCATCATCTGTATGGAACGGAACCAATAAAGCAATAAAGACTTGGAGCTAAGTGCTACTGCAATAGCAACCCAAAATTCTATAATCATGATTAATTGTCAATGACTCACATTTAGTGGCATCATGATGCACTAGCTTGTTCTTCAAAAGATTCCTCAGCACTTTGTATGTGTCTCCATGCCTAAATTCATAAAGCATAAGAACATATTCCACTGAGACGGAGTACAAATTCTTTCCACTCAGCAAACAATAGCTTCATTTGACATTTGTTTAAATGGTTAGACCAACAATAAACATCACTAACCAAAGTTTTGAAAATCGACGATTACGTCTCGCCTAGGCGCGCCTAGTCGCTAGGCTATGGCCTGACGCCTGGACTAGGGGGGTAATCGCCCCTCTAGGCGGGCGGAGCGACTAGGCGGAGCTAGGCGGCGACTCGGCGGCGCCCAGGAGCCCTAGGCGGCGCGGAATTGAGCTAGGCGGGCGACGCGGGCCATCGCGCGCGAAAGAATGGCTCCGCGGGCGAGCGCGCGCGCGCAGAGCTCCAGGCGCGGGAAAAAGCCGCGCGCTGCTGCGCTGGAGAAGGATAAGGGGGAGAAGGGGAGAGAAAGTCGTACTCGCCTCGACCTCGACCTCCGTCGGGAAGCAGGTCCCGCCAGCGAGCCTCCTCCCCGCCTGGCAAGACCCGCTGGCGACGCTGCACCCCGCCGGTCTCCTTCCTCCTCGACGAGCTCATCCCCGCGGGTCGTGCTCCTCCCCGCCGGGAAGCAGGTCCCGCCGACTGCGCTGCTCGCCTGGAAGCAGATCCCGCCGGCGAGCCTCCTCCCCGCCTGGCAAGACCCACCGGCGACGCTGCTCCCCGCCGGTCTCCTTCCTCCTCGACGAGCTCGTCCCCGCGGGTCGTGCTCCTCCTCGCCGGTCTCTTCGTCTTCGTCGCCAGAAGCTCCTCCCCGCCGGTCTCCTCCCAAGGTCTGTATGTCCTCCTCCCCTGCTCCTCTGTTTCCTTCCCCTGCTTTGTCTGTTTGCAAACATATACAGCCGGTCTCCTCTGTTTCCTTTCCCTGCAGTTGTTCCTTTTCCCTGCTCTCCTCTCCTCTGTTTCTGAAATCTGAAATTGTTGAATGATTCCATGTATCTACTATGATGAATCTGTGAAATTGTTGACTGCATCTACATGTATATATATATGTATCTATGAATTTGTTGATTGATTGGCGATTGCATGTATATGTTTGTAATTTGTTGATTGATGGCTTGAACTCAGATGACGGGAACAGAGGGTCAATCTGAAACTGCAAGTGGAACAGAGGGAGCAACTGTCTTGAGAAGGAATTCAGATGATGTGGGATGGGAGTATGGGGTTCTTGTTGATCCGAACAACAAGGACAAGGTGAAGTGCATACTGTGTGACAAGCAAATGTTTGGAGGGGTTTATCGGTTGAAGCAGCATATCGCCCAGGAAGGAAAGAATGCGAAGAAATGCCAGGGCACGAAGACCACCAAAGAGAAGTTGCTAGAGGCTCAAGAAAAGTGCAAGAAAGCACTAGATGAAGCGAAAAGGAAGAGGGAGGAGAAGACTGTTCGTGAGCTAGAACTTAGAGAGGAAGTTCATGTATCTAGGGTTGGAGGGTCAGAGGAAGTCACTTGTGTTGGAAGTTCAGAGCCTCACAAATTAGGCCCCATGGACAAATGGACAAAAGCTATTGATCCTACAGCAACCAAATCTGAATCTTTGACTCAACAGAAGCTGAACAAGGAACTTTGGAAAGAAAGATTACATGAGGTGCATAAATATATTGCAAGATGGGCCTATAACCATGGTAATTTCCTTGTTGTTTTTTTATTTCAGATTTCAATTTTATTGGATGCCTTGCTGTAGTACTGAACTGAACACTAATTTCCTTTTTTTGTAACATTGACAGCAATACCATTCAATGCATGTGACAATGATGAGTTCAAGCAAATGTGTGAAGCAATTGGACAATTTGGGCCTGGAATTGAACCTCCAACTATGTTTGACCTGCGAGGAAGATTGCTGGAAGAAGAATATGCAAGAACCAAGAGTTTGCTGCAAGAACGTGAAGCCGAGAAGTTGAAGAATGGGTGCTCTATTATGACCGATGCTTGGTCAGATAAGAAGAGGAGAAGCATAATGAATGTGTGCATTAATTGTGCTAATGGAACCAGTTTTATTTCCTCAAAAGAGATGTCAGATGTGTCACACACAAGTGAAGTCATCTTTGAACTAGTGGACAAAGCAATCGAAGATATTGGTCCAAATGATGTGGTGCAAGTTGTGACTGACAATGCTTCTAACAACATGGGAGCAAAGAAGCTATTGTATGAGAAGAGACCACAGATCTTTTGGACCTCTTGTGCAACTCACACAATCAACTTGATGCTCCAAGGAATTGGCAACATGCCTCGGTTCAAGAAGGTGATTGACCAAGCAAAGGCATTCACCATATTTGTCTATGGGCACACAAGAACACTAGAGTGCATGAGGTACTTCACTGAGGGCAAAGAGATAGTAAGGCCAGGAGTGACTAGGTTTGCTTCAAACTATTTGACTTTGAACAGCATACAAGAGAAGGACCAACTAAGAAAGATGGTGGTGCATAGTAGGTGGGACTCATTGAAGGATGTGAAATCAAAGAAGGGGAAAAATGCCACAGCAACTAATATTGAATCCAAACTTTTGGAAGGATGTGAAGTTGACATTGGCTGTTTTTGAGCCATTGTTCAAAGTTCTCCGTTTGGTTGATGGAGATGTGAAGCCGTCCATGGGTTTTGTATATGGAGAACTATTAAAGGCAAAGAGACAGGTCAACGAGGCCCTTGGCAATAATGAGTCCCGTTTCAAGGATGTTATTGCTATTGTTGACAAGAAAATGGCTGGAAGACTTGATTCTCCATTGCATTTGACAGCTTATTTGCTGAATCCACACTACAGTTATGCTGACCCTTCAATCTTTGATGCTCCCAAAATGACAGAAGGATTTATCAGTTGTGTGGAGACTTTTTATTATCATGATGAAGACATGCAAGAACAAGCTGCCAACATTAAACTCCAGAAGTATCAGAATAGAGAAGGACCATTTAGCAAGAAGCTTGCAAGGACTTTTGAAAACTTTGATTATAATCCAGGTAAAAGTTGTTTGCTGATTTTACATGGTTGTTTGTTGTGTTCATCTAACAAGAAATCTGTTGTGCCTACTAACTAATAGAGAGGTTTTTTATTTCAGCATCATGGTGGCAGCTTTATGGAACTGAAACACCAGCTCTACAGAAGATGGCTACCAAGATCCTATCTTTAACAGCAAGTTCCTCTGGTTGTGAAAGAACTTGGAGTGGGTTTGATGGGGTTAGTACCTATCTGTTATCAAAATTTCAGCAGCATTACAATTAAATTGCATAACTAAAAGTGCTCTTATTTTTAATTTATAGGTGCACACTAAGAAGAGAAATAGGCTTACTACAGACCGCCTTAACAAGTTGGTCTACATTCAATTCAACAACAGGCTGATTAATAAGAGAGCAAAGATCAAGTCAAAGAAAATTACTGATGTTCTTTTGTCTAGTGATACAACTGAAGCTCAAGGTTTCCTCCAAGAGAATGGAGATGATTGTGCATTAGTTGTTTTTAGAGATGAGGAAGATGAGGAAGAACTCATGGAAGGTACAGGGATACCTTGGTCTGTGCTTGGAGATGCAATGGGAGCAGAAGAACAACTAGAGCTGCGTAGAAGTGCAAGGGTGAGAGAGCTCTATGAAGAAGAGTTTGAGTCCGAAGAAAAAGAGTTTGATGAAGATGAGGATGACTATGTGATGGATGAACCCTACTGAAGAAGTGTGAGACAGCTTCATGTCATGTTTTAGCTTTTATTATGCATCCATGTATCTTTAACTTATGAACTTAGATCTCCTGCTGTGTGCTTGTGTTTTGTGTTGTGAGAACTGAGAATCATCAATCATGTGATGTAATGTACTGCTAGTCTACTATCCATTTTATATTCTGTGTTGTTGCCTGCTGTCCCTTCATGTTTGTGATTTCAAAAGGCTATCCTATGCTGCTGAAATGTTGATAATGGATGGGAGAAGGCTCAGACCTCAGATAAGTACCTAACTTGCTATTTCCTATTTTTTGTATCACTTGTATTGATGCCCAATTGTATCTAAAAGTGTTGTCCACTTCTATTGCAGCAGTGCTGCAGGAAATTCAGTGATCAGTAGTGTATCAACTGCAACTAAGGACAAAGGACCTAAGATATGTCTACTGGTCCTTCCCTATTTTTTATCTAAATTATTCATGATTTGTGCTATAAATGTATATATTATATATTGATATATAAATATAAATTGACAAAACGCCTAGAAAAACGCCTAGCATCGCCTAGGCTAGCCTAGGCCGGACTAGTCGCTAGGCTAAGGGTCATCGCCTAGATTTCGCCTAGCACCTAGCAAAACTTTGTCACTAACAGTAACATTAGCTGCACCAAAGCCTCCATGTTTTCAGATTCATTGTTTTCAGTATACTGATGTTTGTACAAAACTAATAGAAAACATATCTTCGTTTTTGCCTATTGAAAGGAAAAGCGGAAAGATGGAGATTTTATGCTACTCTGTGCACCACAAGGTGGAATAGCAAACCAGAACCAAAGAAAATGCATACTGTGCAAAGTCCAAACACCCCAGTACTACATCCAATCATCAACATGCTAAAATTGAAATTAAATCCCCAAAAAATAATTTGGACAATATACAACCAATTAGCATCTATCCTCAGCATAGCCACAGATTGCAGGAATGTGAACAAAAACAAAATCTTACTTCAGTTCGGCAATCCTGTCGACAAGTTCTGCTGGAACAATCTCGTGCTGTGACAAGTCCAAAAAAACTAACTTAAGTCGCGGAAACCGGAGATTTAATATGTAACCGGATGCGCGGTCGAGGTGCAGGGTATTGGGGATCTTACGTTGCGCATGCCCATCTCGACGGCGGTGAGGACGCGGAAGTCGTCCTTGGCGAGGTAGCGAAGGGGTGTCCTCCTGCTGCAGCAGCCAGTGGCGGACCAGCCGATGATTTTTGCAAAAAGTTCGAAGTAAGCAAGCATCAAATAGCCAAATAGCTTTAAGTAGGGTTTGGGTGCTAGGTTCCGCACAGCAGGAAGGGAATAGAAGGGGTGGAAATACCTAGTGAGTGATCGTCGCCGGGGAAGAGACAGAAAGGCCACGGCACCTGTCGTAGGGCGGCAGCGGCAGCGGCGCAGAGAGGGAGACTGAGACAGAGCGGACGCGGGGTGAAGTGAACGGATGCAGCGGACGGCGGTAGCCCAGTCCGGGCCTCCAGGGTTGTCCAGCCCAGGTGGAGCGCGCCCGCACGGGCCTTCTGCTGGGCCGTTCTTTTTAATCCCGTTTGTTTTGATTTTTTTTTTCTTCTTTCTTTCTTTCTCTCTCTTTTCATTTTTTATTATTACTCTTCTTTATTTTGTACTAGCAAATATGTCCGTGCGTTGCAATAGGAGAAAAAAACACTAGCACATTCAAGTTCAATAAACAATTAAACATTATTTTTCAAGGAATAAACAATTAAACATGGTCTGAGACTTTTTTTATTTACTATTTATTGTTGGTCAATGGTCTCTATTTGCATATACAATCTATGTTCATAGTATTCGTGTGTAGACAGTCAGGTAAGATGTGTGAACGGAACAATATACATTCATAGTTGTACTTTGTAACTTGTGAATTTAGCGGCAGGAGGACATTTAACATAATTAGTGTTTGTTTTCATCTTATTCTCTTTTATCGTATAACTAAATTCTTTTGGAAATAATCATCAATGTCTTGTAAAATATGTTAAATACTTGCAAAAGTAAGGCTAGTTGATGCGAACTCAACATGAAATAAGTAGTGCACAAACATTATATAATAACTACTTTTGTTTGATCATTTAGCATGTGTTTGGTTCTAGGGCCATGTGGGTTGGGTTGGATCCATCCCAGTTTTAAGGGTCGGGTTGAACCCGTATTGTGTTTGGTTCGAGGGTTGGAGTCATTTCAATTTTTTGTTTGATTTGAGGGATGGAGTGGGTTAGGATGGATGGCATCTTTAACACCGTCACTTGCTATTTACGTGGGACCCAACTGTCAGCCAGCTTCAACCCATCTTCCACCTCTCGTCGTTGCCCAGCCAGAGGCGCAGAGCACCGCGCGGCCCCAATGCTCCGCCTCGGCAGTTAGCGCCCACCCGCCCCGGTGGCCTGCACCTCCCCGCATCCGCTCGCCGCGCCCCAGCCAGGCCCGCACTCGTCCACCTCCGCATCTCGCGCCAGCGCCGTCCCGCCCTGCATCCTATGTCCGCTCGCCGCGCGCCCAAGCCAGGCCTGCGTGCGTCTGGCCTCCACATCTGCGCCGCGCCGCCCCGCCCCGGTGGCCAGCATCGTCCCGCACCCCGCATCCGCCCGCTGCCGCCCCAGCCAGGCCCGCCCGCGTCCAAGGGAGAGAGAAGGGAAGAAATGGAGTCGCGACGGCGTCGAAGTGGGTCGAGCCGGTCCGCTCGATTTGGAGAAACCAACTGAACCCGCATCTACTGGAAATATTCCCTATGCGGGTCGAACCCAACCCAGACATCGTAGAACCAAACACCTCTAAATCTAGGTTTGACCCACCCCACCCCAATTCAATCCTCCAACCAAACACATACTTAACAACCCAAAAAAGGGTCACGGTTTATTTCTGCTTCACGTCAAGGTAAAGCAAGTGCTTTAGGAACGCACTGAAAACAGTTGAAGCAGGTTTGGGCCAGGTTTAGCATTGGGCTTTTACCCTAGTCAACGTAAGAAAGTATTGACCGATCCTTTCAATTTCAATTTTGGATTTAACTCCGGTGATACGTCCACAGACTTACAGCATGCGCCGCCGCTGCCTATCTCCTATTCCAACCAGCAAACCACCGTGCGGAAGCTCCTGGAGACTCTCTTCCTCTTCTACCATGTCGACGCCTCTTTCTTATCGGCTCCCTTTCGGACGCCTCGCTCCGCCTTGCCTCCACCACCCCTATCGCGCCCCGGCAACTCCGCCACCCACACCTCTGCTCCGCCTCCGCACGCAGCTTCCCCGCACGGGCGTGCAGCCTCCAACCAGCTCGGCACGAGCCTCCACCTCCGGCCCCTCCCTTGGAGCTCCCATCGTGCCACCGTCGCTCACTCCGTCTTCTGCGCCGCCGTTGCCAGCGTTGACTCGCCTCGTGGGCAATTCTGGCTGCGACGAAGTGTTGGCCCCACCAGAGCTCGCGGAACGTTGCGAAGCTACGTTTTTTGGCTCTGGCCTTCTTTTCGCCCTTGTCTCAGCGGGTTTTATTCGGTTGGTTGATTCGTATCGTTGCTGGTTTGTTTACGTGAGAGAGAAGTACTGCTGGCTGGTTCGCGTGAACAATGTTTATGTGAGAGGGCTGGCCAGCCAGCCGCTCCCAGCCGATCAGGCTGAGAGTGGTACGACGGAGGCCGTTTGGTTCGGCAGCACGCGGAGCTGTTGATGGAGCGGGTCGAGGACCTCTACCAAACGGTCCCCTTGGTCTCGATCTTGTCTATAATAGCCTCGATTTAGTCCTTTTGAATCTCGATTTGGTCCTCGGTTATTTTAGACACAATTTTGCAGCCTGATCGCTTTTTCGTATACGATCGCGATTATAAGTTGGAATAGTATTTTTTTTCACACCAAAACAATAAATAATCCACTATCGTTTACGACGAAACGAACAGGCTATTGATCTATGGTTTCGATTTGGAATTGCTTTTGAATAGAGATTTGGTCCCGATCTTGTCTATAATAATAGCCTGAATTTGGTCTTTTTAATCTCGATTTGGTCCATGGTTGTTTTGGACACAGATTTGGTCTCTGGTTTCGATTTGCTCTGTGGTCTGTTTATTGATAACGATGGTTGCGTCGGAACTCGGGAAACAGAAACGCAGATGGCCAGGAAACATTCTCTCGATGGGTAGCGTGTAAGACGTGGTGTCCAGTGGAAGATGATACGGTTTCCTGTTTGCGGAGACCGGAAACTTGTAGTACGGACGGGAGTGGCAGGAGACGAGAACTTTAAAACAAAGGAGCAACGCTTTATCTCCTACAAGTATAGATACTTTTTGTTACAACATTTATTTTGATTCGTCTATCTGCTCATATCTGCGATCCCACGACATCTTAATTACTGATTGATCGTGCTATTTTTCTTATTGAATATTGCCTCTCATGTGATAGAGGAATCACTGTAAAATAGAAAGTAGAAAATTATTGTGCTATCCATATACACAATGCATGTTTGCATGCACCAGCATACATGGCAACGAGCAAAAGGAAAGAGAATTAACACGGAAGGAAAGAGAATTAAGACAAAAGGAACAGCTTTGCATTTCTGAGAACCTTGCCAAATCTATCTACATTTAATTACTTCCCCTCTTTGTATTTACAAAATGGACAGTTTTTTTCTCCTTTCATTTGGTTTCATGCTCACGTGTTCCATCGTCCTCGCTTGCTGTTTTTTGCGTAAACCATAGTTGATATCATTTGTCTTCCATGGCTCAGCCTCCCAATTTCAAGAAAAGGTCACTACCTCTCCCTGACTGAAGATCTAGCCTGCCAGAGGATCTCCTCGAGTCTATCGGGCAGCGTCTCGCGTCAGGCCACGACGCGGCGTCCTTCCGATCCGCTTGCTCCCCATGGCGCGTTGCTGTCCCGTTCGCGACCTTCGGACCGCTCCTGCTGCTCCCGTTTGACCCCGACTCGGACCGCGTTGGCTTCTACTGCGTCCCGGAGAAGAAGGTCTTATCTAAAACGTTGCCCGACG